CCCACAGCTCAGGATCTCAACAGACAAAAGCAGTGCAAAGTAAGTCTAATTACATTAGTGTGATGGCACTGAACTTTAGACTCGTAAGTGTTGTCTTTGGGTTTCTGCCTTTCTGCTTGGTTTTGCCATTTAAAGGACATCACCATCCCTTGGGCTCAGTTCTCCCTCTCTGAGCCAGGAACAATTCCACTCCAACCTACTTCACCAGGTCATTGAGAGAGGCATATGTGATAACATATTTGAAAATATAACGTGAATTGTAACATAGTGACCAAACAAACCTAAGAAATTATCATCATCACTGACAAGTTATTCATCTGCTTTTAATTTCCTCATCTGCAAGGTGGGAAAAATATAATACCACCTTCCTCCTACTCTCATCAGAACACTGCTATAAACATCTGCAATAATATCTAAGATCAGTCAGATTTGGGAGGAGAGGCCAGGGTGAAATATGTTCAGTAAAATACAGGGTATCTATTCAACAAATATACATTGAATGGCTTCTATGTATAGACACTAAGCTGGTTGCTGGACATACTATAATCAAGAAATGGTCCTTGCCCTCAAGGAGCTTATTGTCTAGTGGAATGTTATGGACACCTCAGGAATCTATTTCAATACAGTTTATTTATTTATTTTTAGGCTTATTTATTTATTTGAGAGAGAGAGTAGGGGGGGAAGGGGCAGAGAGAGAGGGAGAGAGAGAATTCCAAGCACGCTCCACACTATCAGTACAGAGCCCGATACCAGGCTTGAAACCATAGCCATGAGATCATGACCTCAATCAAAACCAAGAGCTTGGACACTTAACCCACTGAACCACCCAGGTGCCCATATTTAGTTTTTTTTTTTAATGTTTATTTATTTTGAGAGAGAGAGAGAGAGAGAGAGAGCAGGGGAGGGGCAGAGAGAGAGAGGGAGAGAGAGAATCCCAAGCAGGCTCTACGCTATCAGCACAGAGCCTGAGGTGGTGCTTGATCTCACAAACAATGAGATAACAACCTGAACTAAAATCAAGAGTCGACGCTCAACCCACTGAACCACCCAGGCGTCCCTCAATACAGTTTATTAAGAGGTGAAATCAGGGAAAGTAACCAAGGTGGGCTCAGGTCTCATGGGTGGCAATGGAGCATGGTGGTGAAGAGCACAGAGTCTGAACCCAACTGCCTGGGTCTGACTCCTCCTTCCACCACTTATTTCTGTCTGTCCTGGGAAAACTTATTAAGATCTCTGTGCCTCAGTTTCCTCATTGGTAAAAGGAGAATACAAACTAATCTCAGAAAATTGCGCAAGGACTACATGAGCCAATACATGCAAAGCATTTAGCACAATGTCTGGAACACAGTGTGAACTATTGTTACCACTACATAATGCTGTGGAGCCTACATAAAGTGGAGCCCATAGCTTTGGGGGCTTTGGTGGGTGTGAAATCAGGAGAGGCTTCCTAGAGGCAGTGACAGCTGAGAGGAGATCTGAAGGATGACAGGAATTAGCAGGCCAAGGTACAAGGTATTGGGGGTGAGGTGAATGTATACTAGGCAGAAAGAACACCCAGATTCTTTAAATCAGTGCTTTCTCAAACTTTGATGTTCATAAAAATCATCTAGGCATCTTCTTTAAGTGCAGATTCTGATTCAGTAGCTCTGGAGTGAAACATTCCTTTTTTTTTCTTTCTTTCTTTTTTTTGAGAGAGAGACAGAGAGAGTGTGAGTTGGGGAGGAGCAGAGAGAGAGGGAGACAGAGAATCCCAAGTAGGCCCTGTGCTGTCAGCACAGAACCTGATGTGGGGCTCAAACTCATGAAACCATGGGATCATGACCTGAGCTGAAATCAAGAATCAGACGCTTAACCGACTGACCACCCAGGTGCCCCTGGAGTGAAATATTTCTAATAACGTTCCCAGGGAATGCTAATGATGCTGGTCCCTGTCCTACACTTCCCCACCAGAGCAAGGTTTGAACTGGGTGTAAAATCTCAAGAGGAAACTGTCAGCTATTTAAGGATAGCTGGTGTGCAAACTGCTGGGAATGGGGTTTGGGAACTGTCGTGCCAGGTAGAGAGAGAGAATAGGAACGATGAGATCTGTGATGTTGATCACTGCCTAAGGGGCTAGATCACAAAAGGACCTACAAGAAAAGAAAAAAGAAATTTAGAACATAAAGAGGGCTTTAGCTACCAAATGGAAAAATAGTCTTGAGGGAAACCCTGTTGGAAGAAATGAGACCAACTAAGAGGCTTTCTCCTTAAGTACTGTGAGAGATGGTGGTGGCATCAGCCTTGGCGATGGAGAGAGGTGGGGGATTTCAAGAGTTATTAGATCACAATTTGGTGATCGATTTGCTTACGGGATGAAGGGAGGGAGAACACAAGGAAGATAGGCACAAGGTGATCAAGTTTGACTCAGCTGCCTGCTACAGTCAAGCACATGGAGAAAAACTGCTCATCAATGGCACATACAGGCAGTGTCTTCTCTATCTCAAGTGCTCCTGCTACTTTTGGCAACTGTAGATCGGCTTTCTTCAAACTACTTTCAAACGCTCCATTTCTACTAACTACTCAAGGCCTGGTAGAGAAACACAGAGCCAGGAAAGTAAACCTGTACTTCAAAATTTCCGTACTTACTCTCTTAGTTTTTGTTCATCAGTTGTGTAGGGTGTGTTGGCCTTCCCACATTAGCTGTTACTTTTTGAGGGCAAGTGCTGATGACCCAGTAGGCACCTAATCATACATGCTAGGTGACTATTTGATAGAATACAAGATGATTACACATTAATGCCATTTATTATCTCACAAAATAATAATAAAAGTAATAACATCTGTAAGGTGTTGAGTGTTTTACATGCATTATAAATGCCATCATCTTCTTTTGTTTATCAGAATCATCTGAGACCCTTACAACCAGGCTGTTTGTTTTGACTACAGCCTCCTCGAATTTAGTGTAATAGAATGGAAGCCTGTCCTATTACTGTTGAGCTCGACTGCCACCTACTGTTCAGGTACTTACTAAGTTCACAAATGGCGCTCCCTCTCGGCTCTATTCTTTGCTATTGAATATTTGTTTTCTGCAGATCTCAGGGGCTTTCTATGCTTTGAGTTTCAACCCAGAGTAGGTGTAATTTTTTAAGTTTCTGGTGTTCCATTATAGCAATCCAACATGATACTGACAATTTTCTCTTGTGGGCAAAGAGTTTATGCCTTTATGGATATTAAACATTTTAAAATGTAATGACACACTGGTTTTTTTTCATAGGCTTTTTTTTTTTTTCAGTTAAACTAAAAGAAAAGGTCACAGAATTTTGGAAGAATTTTTCCCTACCTCAAGCAGACATCATTAACTTAAGACAAGACAGACATCTTGGCTACATTCCATTCAGAGTGTAAATCTTGCTCATCCTTCAAGGTCATTGTTTCAAATGATATCTTCTCCATAAAACTTTCCCTGATTCCTCATTCTGGAAGTAAATTCTGAATTGTTATAATGAATCACAAAGTGGAAGGACGATAAAAATTCCAATTAAAAAAATAGCTTTATAAACCAGTTCCCTCATTTTCTCTTTTCTGTTGGTTCCTTTTTTTTTTTTTTTCGTTTGGAGACAAATAAAACTGGACTCTCAGCTGTAACAATCTTATAAAGTGTTTGTTTTAATAAAGGAACATTTTAGGAAGGGCAAGGCCAGAAGCAGGGACACTGTTGGGTGATGGGGTGAGATTTTATTTATTTATTTCTCTCTCTATTTATTTATTTATATATATCAGGTGAGATTTTAGGCAATTCATTTTGACTTTGATTGCTGTGAGACTTTAGCCTATCCGTTGTCCTTAGGTACTAGATGGTGAGGATTTCAAAGGTTAATGAAGTTATGAAAATAGTTTAAAGAAGGGGGCACTAAGCAAGAATTTATTTGAGTAAATTTCTGGTATAATTTAGGTATCTGGGAGTAGTTCAGTGGCACTGTATTTAATGGGGTGGCTATGTGGTGGTGACCAATGTCCTCCCCGCCCCCCCGCCCCAGGTACCCTGATTTCACAGATCTAGATGGAAGTCCAGTCTCCGCTACAGACTAAGATTTAGCAAGTCATTTGAGTTTCCTCACAGGATAGGATTAAATTTTTCCTCTTCTGCGCATTGTGTGTTATTTCTACCTAGGTCCCTCTCATAGGTGTTTGCATGCTTTTTCTTACTCTCGTTCAAGGTCACAGAACCTTGGCGCGGCGCTCTCTGGGAGTCTGCGGTGCCGGCCCTGGGTTCCTCCCTTACACCTGCGGTTTCTCTACGGTCACAATCACTGATTCGATCGCACACTTGCCATCTCACGGAGAATGGAAGAAAATCCTCACACTTTACGTCAGCGCCACGTTGTGACGAGCCCTTGCAGGGACTACTAAAGTGCGGGGAGGCAGGCAAGGACCTCTTCTCGTCGTCCCTTCTTCCCTGGCCTTTTCTGATAAATATTTGGAAGGGGTGAGAGGGACGGCGGTGGGCGTGAAGGCAGAAAGGCTCTTTTTCCTGGTAGGAACACAAACCTTCGGGTCCTTGTTTCCGGAAACATTCTCTTCGGACCTGGGGAGGGGACCGACTTCCGGCTCTGACTTCCTTGCCTTTCGAGTTTCGAGCTCCACCGCTTCCGCCCAGAGTTGCCCTAGGCTCCGGCTCCGAGCAGCTACTTCCGCCAGGAGTCCCAAGCAGCTCGGTCTCGGAAACTGACCCTAAAGCGGCCTCCTTCTTCTCCCTCCAGCCTGCCCACCTGAGGCCGGGCCCCAGGTGGCGGCAGAGGCTTGCTGGGCCTGTCGCGGAGCGTTCTCTCGGCCCGAGACCTGGACCTGGGGCACCGGGAGCACAAGAGAGACGCCCGGGCCTGGCCCAGCCCCAGCCCCTGTCTTCCCGCGGCCAGTGACGGTGGCCACAGGCCTCGCCGCGCCCACCCTAGCCTGGGGCGGGGCCCGGCCTCCCCGCCCCGTCCCCGCCCCTCCGGCCTGCCCCGAGCCAGGTCAGTCTGGTCCCCAGCCCTGCGGCGGTGTAGCCGCCTCGGACCTCCGGGACTCTGCAGTCCCGTGGCTCCGGCCGCGGGGCAACATGGAGTTTGCGGAGCTGATTAAGACCCCGCGGGTGGACAATGTGGTGCTGCACCGGCCTTTTTATCCCGCCGTCGAAGGGACCTTGTGTCTGACTGGTCACCACCTGATCCTGTCTTCTCGGCAGGACAACACCGAGGAGCTGTGGCTTCTCCATTCAAACATCGACGCCATCGACAAGCGGTGAGTGCCCATCCCACCCCCTTCCCGTAGGGAGCTTGGGGGTCCTTAGGTGGACGTTTGAGGCCACGCGATTCAGTGTTTTCCTTGCGCCCCATCGCCTAACCCGCCAGCAACATGAGCCCTCTCTGGCCTAGATTGAGGATAGGAATTTTAGAAAGCAGAAAACCATTCAAACGAGATGCCTGATTTCCGTTAAATCTGGGTGGAATTTCCAGGGTTGTCACATGGTTATCCTGATTATCATTTTTGGCACATAACATCATTTGGGTGGATTTTCAACCTTAAAAAAAATTTCTTCTTGCACCATCATATTCCTTGTATTATTGATTATTGATTGCCCGTCACAGTTCTTGAAGTGGTTGAGTGTGATTTAGGTAAAGTCTTTAGTTGCCACTTTTGAGGAAAACTCCAAGAACTTCGTGTGTAGTGTCTAAAGTTCACAAAACTTTTTTTTCCTTTCCCTCAAACATGTTTAGTTGATCATATTTCTCCTTATTTCTTACCTTCTGGGTCATCAATTGGAATACTTCCTACCATAGGAGATTTAATATCTTTTATTTATCCTTACTAGGGTCTGCTTTTGGAAGAAACAGAATTGGCTCTTAATCAAAAATATTAATTCATTAACCTCTTTTTTTTTTTCTTTTTGCACCCCAGACTCTGTCTTTCCAAGGTGGTGTCTCAGAGTCAAAAAGTTATACATCCATCTGCAGTCAAAATTCTTACTTCCCCAATGGCTCTGTGTACTTTAGTCAGGAGAAGGTGAATTGATCATCCACTTTACACTAAAGTGTAAATGAATGACAACAGCCTTTATTATTACCTCTCAGGAAAACTTGGATATTAAGAAGATTCCTAGAGGGGTTATGCCTTAAAAGAAAATAATTTCTAGTGGTAGAATTTGAATGGTATGGATGCATTGGTGACAGATTTATTTATTTTTTTTCAAGCAGAGGATTCTTGCTAGACTCCTCAGATCAACCTTCTCCTGTGTAAAAGTTTTCGATGGTCTCTTCCTGGCCTGCATAATAAAGCATAAACCTCTTAACTCTGTCATTTGTAGTGCTCCGTGTGTGGCCCTAACTTACTTTTCTCACTTTGGTTCTTGCCATTCCCTTTCACGAACCCTTTTTATTAGCCAGTCCTCACTCTTTATTTTTGCTCGCCGTGTCCTGCATTCTCTTGTGTATATCTTATCGATGCTCTTCCTTCTGCCTGGAATGCCGTGTTCCTCCCAAGTTTGTTAAAGATTTATTGAATGTCGTTAGGGTCTAGACATTTTGGGAGGCTTTAAGAACATCGAGATAAATAAAATATAGTTCTTGTCTTTCAGGACTTCATAGGCCATCATCCAACCTCTATTCGTCTATCAATATTTAGTTTAACCCTGTTAACTGCCACCTCTTTTTGTAGGTTCTTCCTACAAAGAAGGAATTTCCACAACTAGAAGTAATTCTCACCTTGAAATCCTTTAGCTCTTTAATTATACCTCTTTAATAAGTGTATGTTACCATTTGTATTTTGATAGTTACATAGATGTTAGCTCCTTGAAGTCAGTACTTAACATTTGGTTAATTTTTATCTCTTTCAAAACTCCTAACGTGGGCAGATAGGCATATAGGAAGTATAAGATGGATTGACCCCCAAATGGTCTGTGGCGCTATAGAATACAAATTACTTATTTATTTTTTAAATTTTTAAAAAATGTTTTTTATTTATTTTTGAAAGAGAATTAGACAGAATGTGAGTAGGCGAGGGGCAGAGAGAGAGGGAGACACAATATGAAGCAGCCTCTAGGCTCGGAACTGTCAGCACAGAGCCTGATGCGGGGCTTGAACCCACGAACCCACGATATCATGACCCAAGCCAAAGTCGGATGCTTAACTGACTGAGCCACCCAGGTGCCTCTGAAGCAGAGTTTCTCCTCACCACCAACTCCCTTTTCTTTTTTTCTTATTTCTTTTTCTATGGTTGCTTTTCACACTTTCATTTCATCATATTTACGTAGCATTTACTACATGCCAGGCCTGGTAAGGCTAACAAAGTATATAAGACATAACATTTTAACCTGTTAGGGCAGAAATGACAAATTGTGTATACATTTACCTTTTTCCCCAGGAAGCAGCATGATGTGATGGAAAGAACACGAGCTAGGTGGTCAGACCAGAGTTTGTTTAATTGTTGTGGTCAAGAAGTACTTCCATGTGTCTTCTATGTGCTGATCACTGTCTGGGCTCTGCAGGTACAGTGGTGACTAAGGTTGAAGAATTTGTGTACCAGTGGAGGAGATTCAAATAAATCGATGTCAGGTAATAAGTTCCGGGAAGGAAAATAAAGAAAGATGGGAGGGTAGAGAATGCCAGTGTATTTAGAAAGAATTTCAGAGAAGACAAGTGACATTTAAATGAATGACATCTGAATGAAGAGAGAAAGCTAGCAGTGTGAATATGGGAAGAAGGAGCATTCCAGCCAGAGGGATCAGGGAATGCAAAGATAGGAATATGCTGGGATTAGACAAGGAAAAACATAGAGACCAGTTGGCTGGAGGGCAGTGAGCAAGGATAGAGGCTAGAGGCATAGCAGAAAATGGTTGGAGGGATAAGCAGGGGCCAGATGGTGTAGGGCTTTATTTGCCGGTGTGATGGTTTTCACAGGAAGCCCCTGGAGAGTTGAAAGCAAGGAAGTAAGAGCAGACAGACTTTGTAGATGATTCCGGTCGCTGGCAGAAAATGGATTGCAGAGGGGGAAGAGTGGAAGCAGTGGGCCCAGTTAGGAGACTGTTGAATAGTTCAGGGAAAAGGCGGTGGTGACTTTAGAGTGGAAGCGGCGGCACCTGGGTGGCTCAGCAGGTTAAGGGTCGGACTTCTGCTCAGGGCATGATCGCACGGTTCGTGAGTTCGAGCCCCGCATCGGCTTCTGCACTGGTGATGCAGAGCCTGCTGGGAATTCTTCCTCTCCCTTTCTCTCTGCTCCTTTCTCCCTCTCTCTCTCTCTCTCAATAAATAAATAAATAAATAAACTTGAAAAAAAAAAGGAGTGGAAGCAGTAGTAGCGTGATCAGAAGCAGGCCAGTTTGGGGTGTGTTTTGAAGGCTGAGCTGCCATGCCTCGTGAGTGAGTTGTAAATGCGATGTGAGAGGAAGAGCAGTATTAAGGATGCCTCTTTTAGTGCTGCCTCCGGTGGGGTAGGTGTCCTTGGACAAGCCACTTAACCTCTCTGAACATCACTTCTATCACACAGAGGAAGACAGCCCTTCTCGTATCTAGTAGTAACTTCTATTTGGGTAACACGTCACAGGCTCATGTAGTGCTGTCGTGCACGTTGCATACATAATTTGATGTGGTCCTTTCAGCACGCAAGGTGTTACACAGGTTTTACAATTATACCTTTTTCTTTTCATGGACCTCACATGTAGAGAGTTGAGTTAATCCTACTCAGTTGATGACTCATCATTTTCAGGATGGATTCATTAGAAGGTTTTCTTGTTTGTTTTGTTTTTTTTTTTTTAATTCGATTCGTCTTCAAGCCCTAATTTTCATGCCTGTTTTCTCCCTCATCCTCAGTCCCTGTAGGCAAGTTATGCTGAGTGTTGCTATTTGTCCTTGGATATATGTATATTCCTATAAAATGTATAGCACCATCATGTGTGACTTTAATTTCCCTCAGTATGAGTATGTTGCAGATCTTGTTCTATTTCTCAACATTAACTCAGTACTCTTGTTCAGGATCTCTTCCTATTGCTGTGTGTACATCCATTTCACTGCTTCTGATGGCAGAATAGAATCCCAAATTATCTACCACATTCTGCTTTTCTGACCCTCCAGAGAACCTCCAACTTCCTGATGTCACGACATATTCTGCCCCTCCCCTGCTTCATGTGTAAATTCTCTCTCTCCCTCTTTTAAAAAAAATTTTTTTTTTAATGTTTATTTATTATTGAAAGTCAGAGAGAGTCAGAGCGTGAGCAGGGGAGGGGCAGAGAGAGAGGGAGACACAGAATCCAAAGCAGGCTCCAGGCTCCGAGCTGTCAGCACAGAGCCGACGTGGGGCTCGAACTCACAAACCTCGAGATCATTACCTGAGCCGAAGTCGGATGCTTAACCGACTGAGCCACCCAGGCGCCCCTCTCTCCCTCTTAAAAAAAAAAAAAATGCTTAAAAGTTGGGTTTGTTGTCTTTCTAGCATTGATTTGCACCGGTTCTGTGTATACTCTTGAGGTATTATTCTTTACTTGGACATGGCAAATGTCTTCTAGTCTCTCCCCCATTTGTTGACTTTTCTGTGGTGTTCTTTGTTGAACAAAAGGCCTTAATTTTAATTCAGAATTCATCAATTTTTACTTTATTGTTTGTGCTTTTTAAGTCATACTGAAGAAGATCACTAGGATATTCTCTACATTTTCTTCCATATTAGCTTTATCCTTTTACCCTTCACTTTTAGTACTTTAATTCATTTGGATTCTACCTTCATTTCAAGTGTTTTTCCCCATGTAGCAACCCATTCTTGACTGATGCATCATAACATATATCAAGTGGTTTCATATATGTATAGCTTTCTCTGTGTCCCATAAGTTTTGTAATGTTATGTGTTTGTTTCCATTTGTTTCTATTTTTTCTAATTTACTGCGTGATTTTTTTTTCTTTGATCTCTTGGTTGTTTATGTGTTTAAAAAAATTTTTTTAATGTTTATTTTTGAGAGAGAAAGAGAGTGTGAGCAGGGGAGGAGCAGAGAGAGAGGGAGACACAGAATTGGAAGCAGGCTCCGGGCTCTGAGCTGTCAGCACAGAGCCCGATGTGGGGCTCGAACCCACAAACTGTGAGATCATGATGTGAGCCGAAGTCGGACGCTCAACCGACTGAGCCACCCAGGTGCCCATGGCTTGGTTGTTTATAAGTGTAGTGTTTAATTTCCATAATTTTGCGAATTTTCCGGTTTTCCTTTTGTTCTGGATTTCTAATTTCATCCCATTGTATTCAGAGAAGATACTTTGTAAGATATC